GCACAGGGGCACCACAGACAGGTGTGGGCCAGGCAGCCTGGTATGTGGTGGCCTTTGTGGGGATTCCTCCCTTGCTTTTTGCTCATTCACCTTGGGAGGGACTGAACCCCAGAAGAGGAAGGTCAGGGTCAGGCATCCCCCTACCCTGGTCTCCTGCCATGCTGGACCCTGAGTCTCAGCTGAGGGTGACCCCCAGTCAGTGTTGGAAGAGGCTGAGTTTAGGTGCCCCCTGAAAAGGCTGGGTGGTGGCAGGCCCTGTTAAGGCTTGTGGTGGCTCATCAGTCCTGGGAAGGAGGCAGTACTGAAGCCTCTAGATAAACAGGGAGGTGTGTGTGATTCTAATTGAGGGTAGGGCTGAAAGCCTGTCTCCTTTCCAACATGCTTGAGTGCCCTGTCTGAAAGGCTCTTCTGCCCCAGAACTCCCTCAGCTATCTGCAACCAGCTTTATGTCTCCTTGCAGTGCTCTTGCAAATGCTCCTAGAAAAGGATTTTTTTCTGTGACGTGGACTGTCTGTGTGGCCACATCTCATTAGAAGGAGGGAAAAGGAGGAATTTTCTTGTGAAGATAATTATCATGAAAGTTATCATGTACTTAGCTAGTAAGAAACAATTCTATAGAAGTGATGGACTAGGCTCATTCAAAAAAGAATTACAGCTCCATGTTCCTGCTGCCCATGAATAACATGTTACCAACTGATGACACTGCCTAGTGCACCCACTCTGATCTCTTTTACATGTATGTCTTTTGTTGTTCCTGCTTTCAGTTTAATCAGTCCGTGAGCAATGAGCTGAACATTGGTGTAGGTACTTCCTTCTGTTTCTGTACTGATGGACAGTTGCACATTAGGCAGGTTCTGCACCCTGAAGCTTCCAAAAAGGTATGTAGTTGTAGCTTAAGTTTGACTCTTAGTGTGCTTTATACGATTTCTTACAAAACTGATCAACTTCTCTTTTGCATGAGGGTGCCTCCACACAACCCTAATACAAACATTGCTTGTATATTAATATGCTTACCAGACTAAAGAGCCTGTCCATGTGAAAGGCATAGACAATGCTCTGTGCTTATGTAGCCCTGAGATGCCTTTTTAAGTTATATCGGAAGAAAGACTTTCTTGAGTTAAATGTTTGAGAAAGGAGCAATGCATTGACAAAGTACTCCTAGCTCCTATAGCTGTAGGAGCTACAATGGGTTAACAAGTGGGAATTTGGAAACTAGTTGCCAACTAGTTAACCACCTTAATCAAAAACTGTCTTTTGAAATTTTACATTCGCCTTTAGCTTCAGCAACTGTCGGTCTTTGTGCAGTCAGTTGACACTCCGAGAGCGGTGCTCACATTTGAAAGGAGCTGAACAGTAGTTTGAGGCAGGCTATGAGTGATGACTAGTCCCATAGTCTAGAGTTTTCTGTAACTTCAGAGTTGCCAAATCACTAACAGTGTTATGAGGTCCTGCCTACTTTTCATTAGTGATAGGGTTGCAGCAATATGCTGAAACTCTAGTCCTTAAATAAGTGCTTCAATATTAATAACACCTCATTTTGTGGTTTGCTGTGAACATGCATTGCTCTGAGTTGTCCTGCTCCTCTCGTTGCAACTGATCTCTGTGCCCATCAGTTTGCTGCTTCAGCTTTGAAGGGGCACTGCTGCAGGTCTGTGCTCTTACAAAACTGAGATTGGATGAGTTTGGTTTTAATGCTTGTTGGTGCTCTAAGTATTTATACCTTTGAAGGTTTAGAAGAGAAACAATGAGCGTGATTCATAGTGAAGGGACAGTCCTTATATATGTAACTTGTCTTAGGGTATAATGTGAGAAAATGCAGAAACAGCTTTTTAACAGACTTTCTTCTCACTTGTATTGGGTGTGTGTTTTATGCAGTTAATCTTTCAATGCAGTTAAATTATGTCGATAAAAGAAGAGACAACTCCTACGACTATTTAAGTTTGTTTGGTGTTGGGGATAGGCATCCTTTTTCTATATCATCACAGGGTCACTGATAGGAATCAAATCTTCATCAAAATCTTCTGTTGCTGTTTTGTTAAGGACTATTAATTTGAAATCTGCTATGTGCTGCCTACAGATTAAGTAAACCAGATGCTTATGAGACCTGTAATAGTTCTTTGGTGAATACCCTAATCCTGAAGTTGGGGTGGGGGATCACTAAAATCCAGATAGGCAGAAATCGCTACGCTCTTGAGAATATATCTATTTTTTTTAAGATGCCTAGTCTGAATCAATTTAGCAGCTCACAGTATTCAGAGAATGAATTGGCATCAACTATTCCAACTGAAAGGCAGTGAAGTACAGAACTTGATCTCTCATCAAGGAAGAAAAATAGCCATGCTAAAACTAGAGCAGGAAATCTTGGCAAGCATACCTGCATTTTCATAAGTTTGTCTTTAAAGAGTATCGTTTGCGTAATGCACTTGTCCATATGCTAAGATAAGCTCTAATGTTCTCAAAGCAGAACTTGTTTTAGAGCCTAGACTTCTTTCTTTGGGCTCTCTAAATGTGCTTTCATGTATTCTGCCGTTCTGTTGTAATGCCACGACGCTAACTGTCGTTAAATCGCAGAAAGCCTTTACTTTTGGTCTAGAGAGGCATTGCAAGCAGCAAACATCCAAATGGAATACTAAGTATCGTGTCTGTCGGGAAGCTCTGGGATGAAGAACTAACTGAAGGAGTAGGGGTTTCTGTTGGTTTAAACAGCTTCCCCCAAGTCTTCTCCATGTCTTCTTCCCATCACCAAAAAAGTTAAAAGCATATGGTAGATGTAGTGGTGGGGTGAAAAGGTTTCTGTTGACTTCCAGTGGGCTGCATAGCTTGCTCCTGGCTTCATATGCTGCAATTAAAGCAGTTACCACACATAGACTGACAACTTCTGCACCATACCAAACCCTCATTTGCTCACAGCTGGGATTTTTTGGTGGTGTTTTTGGTTTGGTGGTGTTTTTTTTTTTTTTTTTTTAGGGAATAAATATTTGAAGTGTGACTGTTCTCTGAAAACTCAGCCTTGTCTATAAACCAAAACATCTTCTGTTAGTCTTGCAAAATTTGCTTGGCTCTATAAACTGACTGAGTGCCCTCTGGCTTTTTACAGTTAAAACTGGAATCAAGAATTGATGATAAATGTTGCAATAGCAGGCATTTGCTCTGCTACTTATATATTTGATTTGAAGCACTAGTAATAATAGCAAATGTTTCTTTGGCAGTGAAAAAGCACATTTCTCTTTTTAAACCATGCAGAGAGGAAACTGCTGAAGAAAAAAGTGTATAAACGTACTTATGTGGCTAAGAAGAGCTATGTGAGTTTCTCTGTAGCAAAGGCTGTTTGTGTTTCCTATCCATTATAAGGAAATTGTTAGAAAGTTTGATATCTAAAGACAAAGTAGATTAAACTCGCCTTAGCTGACAGTAGTTACTTTGTCCTTTTACAGAATATCTTACTGCCTGAATGCTTCTATTCCTTTTTTGACTTGCGGAAAGAGTTCAAGAAGTGTTGCCCTGGCTCACCTGATGTTAGCAAACTCGATGTTGCGGCCATGACAGAATGTATCCTTTTAACAGTGATGATGTCTACTGCTGTTAGAGCTTTGGCTGAATTTTAAGACAGAGATGCGTGAGTAATGCTTGCAACACATGTTTAGGGGTGGTATAACTTTAATGAGTGACTCGGAGCTGCACTGAGCTTTCTCACAAAGATAAAGATAAAAATGTGTGAGGATGCATGCTCCCATGGGGAAAATCCTGTATTTCTTCCTGATTTCTGTACATTTTCTTTACTACCTTTATAGTTTTGTCTCTTTAAACTTCACAGTTTAGTGTAACTGGCACATTTGTTCAAATCGCTGATATGAATCCTAATATTAAAGTTGTGAGGTTGCTTGTTGCATCTGTTAGATTTTTATTTTTTCTAGCTAAGAGTGATTGTTGGGAGTCTATCTTAGGAGGGGGAGTGGTTATTCTTGGTGTGAACCTGCAGTGAATCTTTGATTCAGGAGTGAACCTAAGGCAGGGATACTGTTGGCACATGTGGTATTCAGTCTCATGGAAGTTACACATGTTACACTTCACAAGGTGAGGCTGGGCTGGCAATAAGATGCAGTCAGTAACATGTTTCCATTTCCAGTGATAGGGATGCCTAAAATTACTTTCTGAATAGTCTTAAGTGGTCTGTAACCTACTCCTGTCTGGCACTTTACTAGTCTAGGCTCGGTTTTGTTTGTGTGCCCTGTACAATTGCCAGAGCCGAAACTGGGGCTGTGAATGATTTGGCTATGCCTGCCTGTTTGCTCCCCTGGCAGTCTCCCCTCTTGCTGCAGGCTCCAGTCCTCATCTCAAATGGACATGGAAAATACTTGACCTCCTTATTGACCTATTGAAGCAGTGACCGCAAAAGCTAGCTAGCGAGGAGAGATAAAGGAATTTGAGAGTATTTTTAAATTTTTTTTTATTGTGTTCTGTTGCTTTTAATAACTTTTTTCCTCTGACTACCTTATTGTGTTTGTAGAGTGGTTACCATTAAGAGCTGGTATTTCTCAGACTCCAAAGTCTGTGGCTTCTGAATTACTTTGGCCTTTCACTGCAGAACTAGTGTCACCTGGGCTTTGTACCTGTGTCGAGGGGGAATAAAATATCTATGTATTTGTGAATTTTTTTGTGTGTTTAACCATAAGGTTGAATAGTGGAGGCTGTCTGCTCTGCTTTGTCATCTGCAAATTAAGATTCATCTACCCTAGTAAAAGGACAGAAATCGGTTCTCCCCCTACTCTGAAGCAAAGTGGTACACTTAGTGTAGGGGAGTGAATTTTTATGTAGAAAAGCAAAATAAATGCTTGTGTTGCATAGTCTAGAAGCTGGATGGTGGTGACTTCCTAAAGTTATGGTCAAAAACTTAATGTGTTGTTTAGGGATGCTTTGACATGAGCTGGAGAAGTTAAAGACAATGAGCTACTTTGGCTGTTTTCGAGAGATGCCTTTGTTTTCTCCTCATGTGAATGTCTGGTGTACGTCTTGCTGCTGTGGAAAGAGTTGTACAACATCACGGGAGCATCACTGATCAGCTAAGGCACAGTGACAGACTCTGCACCCTCTTCCTGCTGGGAGAGGGTAGCAGACCCCACCCTGTGTTACCCGACTTCTGTCAGGAAGCCCCTAAAGAGTCAGTACCACCTGAGAGTTGTTTTGGCAGCTGCCAATTGTATTTCCTCCAAGTTCCTAGAGCCTCGGTCAGCCTATCCAAATGTTCTCAGCTTGAGTCTGAATTTTGGATCCAATATGCTGCTTAAGGTATATAAACCTAAATAACTTCAGTCTGGTTTAATCTTTGTGGTTTGTCTTGTTTTGTAACTGCTTATGCTCTTATTTGTAAACTTGCTATGTTTATGCAACATGGCTGAAATTAACTGTATCTGCCCTATATTGCTTGAGAGTTGGGGTGGAAGATGCAGAGACCAAAAAGGTAAAATAATTTTTATTTTTCTTTTATTGACAAATATGATGATTTTCTTTCTCCTCACCTGAGGAGGCTGAAATGTGCCAACTTAATCTCCTTGGTGTCTGAAAGTGTGTAAGTTAATTGCACTTGGAGAGTCCGGACATGCATGTAATGCTTGGGATTTAAAAAAAAAAAAATAAATAAATTGTTGAAGCAGGTGCTAAGTCTAAAGACTAGTTCAAACAGTTTTGTGCAGAGATTTTTTTTTTCCTTCTTCATGTAAGCGGGACAGCTACTTTCCTCCTGAGATGGTTATGTAGCAAAGAAAAGAAAATGACTAAATGAAAAGTGACTTGGATTTGAAATGGCTATGCTGAGGCAGGGGACACAAAAACAAATTAAAACCAAATAGAGGAGGTTGAAATGAAGTTGCAGATTAGTGCATAGAATCTGACCAAGCTCTTGTTATTCTTGTAGAAAGTGCACATGTTCCACCTCACAGCTAAAGGGGCTGCATGAGGGGAATCTTCTGTGATTGTGGCACACAAACTGGGCCAGCTTTGTTAACATTTGGTGGGGACAGAAGGTTTTGGGTTAGGAATAGAGTGCTGACTAGAGATACAGAAAACCTGCGTTTACAAACTGGTAGGTGCAGAACGTTTTGGGGGGGGGTGTAGATCACTTCATGTACTTCCATCTCCATTTACCTGTGTGTAAGGTGGTTGTGATCAGTGAGAGGAAGTTTGTGTGATATGAAAGAGTTAGAGGAAAGCCGGGTATTCTTGTACAGTCATTGAAATTACTAGGAGTCTTCCAAAAGCTTTTATTTTGATGGGTAACATTTGATTAGACAACAAATTACAGGCAAATGGAGAATGTACTCTATTGCTCCCAACAGTCGGGGGGATAACTTCCTCCTGCACAGTCATTCCAGAGATAATTCCAGTGTATAACACACTGGATAGATGGTGCTTGGCTATATATTTCTTACAGACAAGGCAAGCACAATCTTGAAAAAGAGCATAGAGATATTAAACCAAATAATTGGCTGGGTTATTCTTCCTTTAGAAAGTACTTTGGGGACTTATTCTTTCAGCAAACTACTTGAAATTGTGTACAGCAATGAAAGAAACCATTCCAAATCCAAGAGCTCAGGTGAAAGCTTTACATCCCCTCCCAAGAAATTATAAATTTCATGTACAAACAGCCACTGATTTCCTTTCATTCAAGGTAAGGAAATGTTTAAAATGCCATGAAATTTGAGGGACCAAGGAAGAACTGAGACTAGTTGTAACTGTTATCTGAGTGCTACTGCTGCCTAACTTAAGGTCTCAGAACAGTTTTTGGTGTAGGAGATGGTCTTCTGGCAGAATTTCTTTAGTCAGTGTTGTGTAAGAGTAGAAACAGGAGGACAATTATGAGAAATTTCAAGTAACAAAAAGAACTTGAGAGACACAATCATGTTCCAGCAGAGAAAGGAACTTGGGTCTGTCGTAATCCTTTTTTAAAACATGTGTAAGTATACAAAAGGAGCAGGGTTGTTCTTGCACCCTCTGTACCTCCCATACTTGCTGCGCTTCTTGATTTGCAAAGCTTGCTGAGCCAGTTTTTACCGCTGTGAGTGCCTTCAGGGTGGAGTGAACAAAGCTTGCATGATTATTTCTATTCGGTCTGCAGAAGACTCATCCTTTGCCTCAAGATTGGGTGTGCAGAAGCCATTAAATGGCAAATAGCTCTTGCTTCCTCCAGTGCATAGTTTGCTCTACTCACTTCTGAACTGGTTTTGTGAGGATAACTCTTTACTAGAAGTTGTCAGTAGAAGCACAGGTGTACTTTGGAACAGTCTGCTTCATGTGCTGGATATGATCTGGATACTGCCATAGAGAACCGTCGGTTTTGGGGTTTTTTGCCTTTTTTTTTTTAAACCTGATTGTCTTGAAAACAATGATGTGGAACACAGTTATAGCCAACAGTACTTAACTCTGGCAATAAAAAGCCCGTTATTGGGTATTACCAGAGATTCTCGCATGTTGCTATTTGTATTTCCTGTGGTAGTACCCAGGAACTGGGTAATACCAGATTGCCTTTATGCAAAGTAGTAATTAAAAAGACGTAATCTTCTGCCTGAAGAGACTTAAAAACAGAACAAAGGGGGAAGGGGATCAGTGCAGAGCACAACTGCAAAACTAGTTCATGTCATCTCAGAGCTAAGTTAGGTGTTGAGTATTTCTTTTGCCATAGTTAAGAAAGGAGTTGAGAGGCTGAGAAATGGAAGAGACAGTGGGAGGGAAGAACTCTTGAAGGGCACTGGCAGTGGGTAAAGCTGCAGTGATGAGTCTGAGGAAAGGATTTAGAAATTTCTTCCATATTTTAAAAGCAGCCCTGATGCAGAATATGGCTCCCCCCCACCCTCTTTACTAGCTTCCTGAGTGTTGCAGGAGGTGGTACTGCAGCTGCACAGCAAGATTCAGAAGTTGCTTGTTTCCCATCCTGCCTTGTTATTTGGGAGTGTCTTTTGCCCGTTGCTTCATTTGGAATATACGTGTGCATGCTATTGCATATTGCTTTAGACAGTCAGGTCTGTTTTCTAACACTTCTTTAAATGTGAACTTGGATTTATCCACTGCAATCAACTCTTTCCAATTGCCCAGGAGAGACAACCTTTAAATATCACTGTACACAAACACACATGTGGTCTCTTATCCCTTCACAGAACAAGGGGTGGCTTTTATAAAGACCATTCCATTATGGCTTTTTCTAAAGAATCCATAACTTCTAGTGCCTCTGTTCATGGGAGTCCATCTGTACCTAGTCAGTCTGGTTCATTAGAATTCAGGTTTTCACTTAATTAATGTTATTATTGACATACTCCTTACACGTGCAGAAAACTATCAGTTTTCTTCTCCACTCTTGCCTAAAAGCCTTGCTTCTAGCTAATCAGAGGTGAAGGTATGAGTGATTTCTCACTCCTGCTAATGTTGATCACTTTCTTCCTCCCCTCCCACTGCGTTTATATTAATATAGAGTTCCTTGGCACAGTTCACTCCCTGTGTCTCAACACCTGGTACTGACTTCTGTTGGCACTATAACATTTTTAGGAACTATATCTTCTGTTGATCAACGTTTTCAATGAAAATGTTTTCTGAAGAAAATGAGTATGGAGTGGGAGAGTTGTTTGTTTTCTTTGTGCAATAGCCTTGCTTCAAATTCCCAACACCTTCACACTGCCGCATTCCCCTCTCCAGCGGCTGATCGCTTGTAGGGATCTTTGGCTCTGCAAAAAGGAAATATTGAAATGTCTCTTCACTTTTGACAGTACAGTCTAACAGCCAAGCGCATGTGTGTACACACGTATATGCATGTCCCCTGCCATAATAGCTATTGAAACTCCTGCCCAATTTCTCTTGACTTTGACAGAGGAAAGATAACGTTTCCAAAATCTTCATAAAAATGGTCAGGCAAGACCAGGGTTCCAATACCTGCGTCTTCAGCAGCTTCTGGTTCCCTGGATGGGAAGACCAGAGCTGTTAGATGCTGCAGGGGGGAGAGTATCAGGAAAAGGAGGAGAAGCAGTCCTCTGCTGTGGTACACAAGGTGCCCACAAACATCTGTGTGGTGCTGATTAGGCACCCTCTCTTCGAGGGAGTCTGTTTGTGTGATTATTTTTCCTTTCAACCCCTCTTCCCCAGGGGACAGGGGAGGAGATGAGCTTGAGTGTACAGCTTAGGAAGAGATACTGCAATGAAGAAGTTTCTTGTTGTCGTAAATACTGATAGTCTCTTAAACTGTGCCTTGGGGTTGTTGCATGTGGTTTGTTCAGGATTTTTGCTTGCTTTTTTTAAGAAAACCATTTAATGTTCTCACTGCTCTACTCTAAAGAAGATTCCAGGTGGGAGGGTAATGTCAATGGCTAGCAAACTGTTTAGTCAAGCAGTTGGAGGGGAGGCATCACTGGTTTAAGTTTTCTGTTTTTTAAACTATGATAATTCACTTAAACATCAAATGTTCTTGTAAGACTAAGCATCATCCTGTCCTTCCATACTCCAGTGCACACTTAAAACCAACAAAGCCTCAAAATCGAATTGCCCTCAAAGGTGTATTGTATTGGCACAGCAGCTTTCCTTTCCTTGCTGTGGAAGAGGTGTTCATTAATTCAGTTGATGTTATTTTTCATCTCATAACAATTTAAAAAAAAAAAAAATGTTTTGTAGGACTGACTTGCAGTCATCCCACAAATAATAGGGAGGACTTTATTTCACAATGAAATTTGTCCTGCCTCCCCTGTTGATGAGATGACACGACAAAGCTGGTATGTGATGTCTGTTTCTAACAGAAGCTGTTCTTCTGTTCTCTGCCCTTTGTGTCGTAATCTGCCAACTCAAAATGTGCTCAGCTCTAAGTGGAGTAAGCTTTTTTATTTTAAGAGGAACTTTGCTATTTTCAACTGAGAAACAACTTTTAAGCACCAAAATGCAGACTCTTTTGAGCATTTGAAATGTGTCTAAAGTAGCTTTTTGGGGGATGTGAGCAAATAATTGGTGCATTTGACTTTGTAATGTCTTGGCATTACTGTACTGCCATGCCAAGAAGGGTCTTGTTTAGGAAACTCTTTCACTTTTGCTCTAAAGTCTTGATGCAAAGTGATAAGAAGTCAAAAAAGCAAGTCCTATTCCCAGATGGCTTTATATTTCACTTCTTGTTTTGTTCTTGGTTTTTTTTTTTACTCTACACTCATCAAAGAAGATGTGAGTGGAAAAGATGTTTTCAAAAAATTTGCTTTAGAAATGAAGGAGTAGGGTTGCAAGTAATCTTACAGTCCTGTAGCTTGGTGTTAGAGAGGGGCAAATATGACGGGAAGGGAGAGAGATACTATAGTGAACTCTGTTTAAAGTTGTGTGAAAAAAGATGGTGTATGCAACTTAAATCCAACTCCCTTTATGAAAGTGGGTGTTTTAGCTGGTCATTCTACAGCCTGCCTGTCTAGGACAGAACACTTCCTGCTTTCTATTGGTAGGAGAGCTTATCCTTGCTATCATCTTCCAAAATCATTCAGATGGAAGAAGATATGGGTTGTGGGACTCTGTTTTGTCTCTTGGTTATCTACAGTTGTGCACTCTTACCAGATTCTCAAAATGCTTCTGCATAACAGCATGAAATTGAGGTTGTAATTTCTAATAGGAAAGGTTTAGATGAGGTGCCACTTGTGAATTTTGTTAAAGTGGCGAGTAAGATGTTTAATCTACTTTGGGATTTACTTGTTCAGAAAGCATGTGGTATATCCTCCTATTTCTGGAGCTTCCAGTTGATGGTTTGCTTCTCCTCCTTCCCCAAATCTTCCCCTAGAGATTAAAGGAGATCTTAATTAAAGAGGACAGGACTCCAGTCTCTTCCGCATGCAAAAGCGTTTCTGTCTGTCAAACATACATAATTCATGAATATATTAAATATATATGTCCTTATTATGGGGTCTCATGTCCCCAGACGCTTTCTGGAGTGACCTCAGACTCCTGCGGGTGCCGGTAGTTAGAGGCCAAGGCAGAACAGCTAATGTATCCCAGCGGGAAAATGGATTAACTCTTCCCCTGAGAAACGACTTGCCATCAAGGATAACATGAAAGCTTGTTGCTCTAGCAGGAAGGCAATTAGAAATCTATTTGGTGATGATTGACTTAACTCCAGCATAAAGATTTAAATCTTGACAAGAACAGTCCAGCATTTCCCTATGGAGCCTCTCAAGTTGAAGATATGGGGAATATTATTTTAACACTAATATCTGAACCATACAGTAAGTGATTGTGATGAATGAGTTTTCTCTGTTGCTCATTGTTTTTGCTGCCTGTCCTGTATGCTGAGGAAAAAGAAAATAACTTATGCTGTGTTTGATAGATCACAGATTTTCAGATCCAGAAAGAGTGAACTACAAATTTGAAAGCGGGCCTTGGTAAGTACCTTCTCCTTCTTCTTGCTGTGTACCCTCCCCCTTGTTTTTTTTAAGATACTGCTTAGACAAACTGTACTTCTTTGTATTCCTGATTTACAAATAGCTGTTACCATTATTTTTATCTTGCCACTGCTGTGGGAATCAATTAGATCCTTTAAGTGGCAAAGGGAACAGATATTCTATGATCAGATGCAAGCCAGTTTTCATGCTAGGCTTCAATGTTGCCTGTTTACTGCTGGTAGTTCTGGGTTTTGCTAATAAGTGCTTATAATGGGTGTTAAGTGTGCTGTGCTATTAACAAAGAACATAAGTATTTTTGTAGAAGTAACCCTGTTGCTACTAACTCTTCCTGCAATTTGCTTCACAGTTACTGAATACGCATCATGATTTTTTTTAATAGGGAAGAAACATTTCCACAAAGACACTGTGCCACCAGTAAATTGCTTAAGCTATGATAGTTGTCTTCTTCCCAAATATGTTTTAAACATAAAGCTTTGTCTACTTTTGATGACTGTTTTGTTGTTTGGTTGGTTTTTTTTAAAATGCAATCATGCTTTTGTATGTATGAATACTGATTTTTCTCAGTGGTTTGCTGGATACTCCCTCTGCAGTATCACAAGACACTGGTGTTAAACTGACCTTATTTATATCCCCATCTTGCATGAATACTTACTTCCCTCTTCCAGATTAAGGAACTGTCATAATGGTAGATGATGCTGGCACTTCTGAGCCAAAAGAAGCAAGAAAAGAATGCAACTGTATTGGCAGAAAGTATCCAGTGATATTAGCTCAGGGGTTATGTTTTAGTATTGTTCTAAGCTTTTTACCTTTCACTAACAAAATCTTGGGATGAGGTGGATGATTCCCATCTTATTTGTGATAATGAGAAGTACAGAATTAGGAGGCGAGGGGGAACGATTTGGGACAAACAGCTACAGAAGGGCCACCTGAGAAATTAAAATACGAGTGAGAAACATGACCCTCCTATAACAAGACATACCACAGTCCTCTGCTGCTGAACAACACTTCATCTGCTTAATCAATCACATAATCTCTTCTGTGCAAAAACCTGTCCTTGCAATAGCCAGAAAGGCAGCCTTGGGTAGCTGTGAGCGTTTTGTTGTACATGGCACTTTTAACAAGTAAGAGAACAGAAGAGACTGCAGTAATGACCAATTAAACCTGGCTTTCTGTGGCTTAGCTATTCCTATGCTAAGCAGCCAATGTAGCCTGTAGCTATATTAGTCTCTAGTAGCACAGTCATGGCCTGAACAAGCAATGTTAAGGCTCAACTCTTTGAGCAGGAGTCCTCTGTGTGCTGAGTGTAACCCTGAACAGATTTGGTCTTGGCTTGTGCCTGGCTCTTACACACTGTCACAGTACAAATAATAAGCACTAACCTCAGTTATGTCTTAACTGCTCTGCTTCAATTTCCACCTAGCTAAGATTAGAATAGCAAGTGCTTCATTTTATACCAGTAAACCTGTTCAGACAACGGAGAAACACAAACATTGCTGCGTTGGGAGCAGAGAGTAAATTGGAAACATGATTGAAGAGATGAGAGCTCACAGAGCAAATGTGGTGAAACAGGAAAGGGGCAGCTTAACAGAGCAGACATTCCCTGAGGATGGATACATGCAGTGGTTTTGGATGGTGGAGGCACTTAGCCCTCACTGCCCTGGCAGTGCCATCCAGCAGATGCGGAGCAGTGACAGAAGCCTGTCCCTGGAGTACAGGTGACAAGCAGGGAGGGTGATGTGTGGCAGATGCTACAGGCAGATGTCTCTGCATTACTCCCTCTTTCTGTGCCTGCAGCAGCAAGATGGAACTTGTGGATGACAACGCTGTTATCCGAGCAAGAGGATTGCCATGGCAGTCATCTGACCAGGACATAGCAAGATTCTTCAAAGGCCTAAATATTGCCAAGTTAGTAGCTAACGATTTACCTCTACATTTGTAGTGCTTCATCTGCATCGGTCATGGAGTTTTATCTCTCTTTTGATTTAAATCTTGCAGGGGAGGTGCTGCACTCTGTCTCAATGCCCAAGGCAGGAGGAATGGGGAGGCTCTTGTGAGGTTTGTGAGTGAAGAGCATAGAGACCTCGCGCTACAAAGGCACAAGCATCACATGGGGAATCGATACATTGAGGTGTGTGACACTGGCTTTGAAATTCTCTTCTCAACAGGAGTGCAAATAGCATGCCCATCACATGTCTTTTCTTTCCTTAGGTATACAAGGCAACAGGTGAAGACTTCCTTAAAATTGCAGGAGGTAATTTTTAGGGGGTGAGAAGGGAGGGTTTGTTCCATCAGCATCTGTATCTAACTTCTGGTTGTAAACTGCTCCTGTTGGATGTGGTCTTTCATTTTCTTGCTTTGTGTGAGTAGTTGGCTGGTGTGTTGATTACTGTGTACTCGGCTAGCAGCAGTCCAAGGCGTTCCATGATTTATCTGTCCATCTTTTTCTGCATTCTTGCCATTTTCAAGCAGCCTATCAAATAAGGATTTGATCAAGCAAGGTGATCTTGCATATGAACTTCATTTGTTAGGTCATCTTCTTAACTGGAGAGACCTAAATGTTATTGATTGCTGAAAAACAAAACCAGAGTAGTTTTTCAAAACAATATGACTGCTGTTGCTGTGGAGACTTGCACATAAAATCAAACAGATATCACAGTGTAAATAACAAGGGATTTATGGAACTGATTTTCTTCAAATCAAATCTTTGCCTCAAACTAAAGGGGGAATTTAGGGAGAATGCTTATTTAAGGGGAATATTGAAATATTTGCAGCCTTGAATTGAAAGGCTGCGAAACTTGCTCTACAAACTTTCCTGTGGTCTCTTTTCCTCCCCTCTATGACTGCAAGCATACATAACAGTGATCTTAACTCAAATTCTGTATCTACAATACTACCTTAAGGTCCATGTTGATTCCCAACAGATTTGTTTCAGGGTTTGTAAATGACTAACTGGATGTCTGAGGTTGAGGTTTTAGAGTCAGAGAGGCTATTAAACTGTCAAATAAAATAGCTAATTGATAAGCTTGGTAATAGTTACAGCATTCAAAGTAAAGACATTGTACACTGACATTGGGGAAAAATGGTGTGTGTCTGCCACAACCAAACTTCTTTGCAGAATGAGCTAGCTGTAAGTGAAAGGACTGTGTTAAAATGTGAAGTTGGTTAGCAGCTAGCTTTGGTTAGGGTAGTCTTCTAAGTATGAGCATCTGTTGCCTTCTCCTAGAGATACTGAAAGTAGAATTGGCAGACTTTGACAGTTTTATCAGGATAGGATGAAATTCCTGAGCTGTTTTCAGCATGCCCTTCCAACTTTCTTTCCCAGCACAATGGTCTGGGTACTTGGTTACTACATATTATGGCTTCAGAGTATGCCGAAGGTATTCATAAGTTAGAAAGGTGAGGTGCACGGTAGCACAGGTACTGTTCACGCATGAGATTCACAGACTGTGCTTCCTTGGGCTCTGATCATTGTAAGAACTTTCTGTTTTCCCTTTGAATAAGAATGAATCTTTTCCTAATCATGGAGTAACGTTATTAGACTTTAATGGGAAGTGTCCTATACAATATTTCTAGTTTATCAGAGGGACATCTTTCCTGACTTTGGGGGCAAATATTGTTCTACCTGCTCAAAAACTGTCTGTGGGGAGGAGGTAGCTATGCCAGACTTGCTCATGATTTTATGTGGCTGCCTAGACTTAAGTGCTTTCGTACATCTTTTTGTTAAAGGTACTTCTAATGAGGTTGCACAGTTCTTGTCGAAAGAAAACCAAGTGATTGTCAGGATGCGAGGTCTTCCTTTCAACGTGACAACAGAAGAAGTGCTGACATTCTTTGGCCAGCACTGCCCTGTAACAGGAGGAAAGGAGGGAGTCCTGTTTGTCACGTACCCTGACAGCCGGCCAACAGGGGATGCCTTTGTGTTGTTTGCTTGTGAGGAATATGCACAAAATGCACTGAAAAAGCATAAAGACTTGCTGGGGAAAAGGTACATTGAACTCTTCAGGAGCACTGCAGCAGAAGTTAAGCAGGGGAAAAACCTTACAAACATTGGCTTCTTGTAATACAAATTCCTACACTGGCATACAGTAGTGGAAACAGATACTGCTTGGCCATGACTTGAAAGCTTCTTTTTTCTTCTCTCACTCTTGACTCTTGACGGAAAGAGTAGTGTCTGAATTTCTGTGAAGCTTTACTCCCTCTAAATGTAAGATCTTATGGTATATGTATGTTCTCAATCATATATATACAAACCTTTTGGGGTTTTGGCTTCCAGTAGCCTTGCGAACAGCAGTTATAGCAGAAAGTTTATGTGAGTCTAGTGCTTTACTCTACAGATACTGAATTTGTCTAAATCCAATGATAGTCTGTTGAGGAGGAGCATTAGCAACAAATCTTCATCTAAAAGACTTATCTCTAGTCACTGGCCCAGAAAAACAGAGCCTTTTGATGTAGTTGTCTTCAGAACAGTGTATCCAAAGAGTCTTACGAACTGTCTGTAAGGGCAGGCCTCAGCCATCTTCTGCCAACACTGCTGTTGTGGCTTAACCCCAGCCAGCAACTACTAAGCCCCACACAGCCGCTTGTTTACTCCCCCCTCTAGTGGGATGGGGGAGAGAATTGGAAGAGTAAAAGTGAGAAAACTCATGGGTTGAGATAAAGACAGCTTAACCTACCTGTTAAGCAAAAGCCTTGCACAAGCAAAGCAGAACAAGGGATTTGTTCACCGCTTCCCATCGGCAGGCAGGTGTTCAGCCATCTCCAGGAAAGCAGGGCTCCATCATATTACATGGGAAGACAAACACGGTAACTCTGAATGTCCCCTGCTTCCTTCTTCCCCCAGCTTTACATGCTGAGCATGACGCCTTATGGTATGGAATATTCCTTGGTTCAGTTGGGGTCAGCTGTCCCAGCTGTGTCCCCTCCCAACTCCTTGTGCACCCCTAGCCTCCTCGCGGGTGGGGTGAGGAGCAGAGAAGGCCTTGACACTGTGTAAGCATTGCTCCACAGTAACTAAAACATCTCTGAATTATCAAGGCTGTTTCCAGTGCATATCCGAAACATAGCCCCATACCAGCTACTGTGAAGAAAATTAACTCTACCCCAGCCAAAACCAGCACAACTGGCTACCTAGCAGAGGGTGGCAGGACTTTGTCAAACTGGGTCTGAGAAGTGCTGTTTCTTGCATTAACATGGCTTGATGAACCATTAACTGTGTTTATGCTGTCAGGGAAAGGAAGTAGGGCTGAGAGGATTGTTTATGTATGTCTCCAAAGATTTGTAGAGCTTCAGTTGAGGTCACTAACTTCTAAACATGATTCTAAAAGGTCTCGTCTATGATGCAAATTATGGTCAACCAATGGCAGTGTCGTTGTAACCAAGCAATGGTGTAGCTCTCTTCCCCAAATATGTAGAGACTTCAGTGCCTTGTTTGAAGGATGAATGGTGAGAAGGCATAGCTGCAACACTCATTCTTGTAATTGTATTTTTCTCAAGTGCTCTCATGTTTCTTTGTTTAGCAAAACCTTCTGATAGCTGTATAAATGTAAATGAATCTTAATCTTGTTCAGAGAAATGTAAAAGGTAGTGATTGAATATTCAGTTAACTCTTGACCAGGCAGGGTTTTTACTGTTAAAATTAGTAACAAGAAATCTTAAAGTGTGACTGTTACAGATACAGATACCGTGACTCAGTAACACCACCTATGTTACTCAATGAACTATTGCATCTCAAGTCAAGGTTGGTTGGTAGTGAAGTATGCTTCTAGTTCCCAGAGTCCTCTAAAGTTTTGCAGAGGAGATATTTTGGGTAGAAGTGTCACCATGACTCTGTAGGTGGTAGAATGCTTTGGGATATTTTCCAAATAAAAATACTGTAGAATTACAGGTTTCATGTTCTAGGACCTCTTCTGAGATTTGTGTAACAGTTCAAGTAAATTCTCCAAAACAAAATGATGTTTTTCAAGAAAAAATGATCCAAAGATTTACTTAAAACATCTGAATTCTAAGCACTGCTGTTTGGTTTAAGCCCAGAATCTAGCTCACTTGTTTCTTAAAATACTGCCCAGAGCAAAAAGAGTTCAGTTCCTCTGAGTTGAAGAATGAGTTAGGAGGCTTTGTGTAACTTCTCAGTTTCTGTTTTGCACAGGTGCTGAACAGATACTCTTCCACACCTCTCATTCCTCTCCCAACACCTCCTATTCTTCCGGTATTACCTCAACAATTTGTACCTCCCACTAACGTCAGAGACTGCATACGTTTGCGCGGCCTTCCCTATGCTGCTACTATAGAGGACATCCTGGAGTTCTTGGGGGAGTTTTCTACAGATATTCGGACCCATGGAGTTCACATGGTACTAAATCACCAGGTTGGTAGGCACCACGTTTCTAGCCACTCTGTGCTAATTGCCTGTATATGCGAATGCAGCCCTTCTGATGATATCAATAGGGAAGCACCTTTGGATTGACACTAATGGCATTAATTGGCCTCCAGCTCTCCTCTAAAAGTGTACTGGCAATAGGTGTGTTGGCTTATTTGAACCCTGCTATGCCAGCTGCTGCATTTGCTGTAGCGTGGTTTCTGTTACTGAGATACATGTGCCTAAAGCTAAGCTGCAGTCTTCGAGGTGTTGGTGCTCTGAGAGCAGCAGCTGTGGTCCTGCACTGTAGGAGGCTGGAACTGAAGAGTCCTGCTCAACAGCATGCATAATTCCTCTTGTACCAGGCAAGGGTATCTTCAAAGCAGAAGTGTGGGCAATGCTAGCTCTCAAAGGAGTGGTTTACCTCTGCCTTGCTGAACAATGTGCCTCAGGTATATTTGAGGACAAATGTGACTACAGCCTTACAGAGACAGGATTTCCTATGGCATGTCAGCGGCTGAAGCTTTGGATTTCCTGAACTACGTGGTTGCTTTCTTTAAACAGTCACAGCTAAGCACCAACATTAACAGCTCATTGGCATGTATAAACGGTCACATCTTTGCCATTGTTTTCTGGAAGCAGTTTCTACTGAAACTTTTCAGACAAAGCATTGTGCGCTGTTGTGATCTGCGTAGTCTTTAGGGGGAGGAGAGGCCCTGAGTGGTTGCACTGATTACACTGATTATTGTGGTACAAAAATGGTTCTTCTAAAATTGTTTTGGTTGGCACTAAACGTAAGCTGAAACTACAAAATACTTCCTTGCCCTGGAGTAGGGCTTCTGTGTTTCGGGGGCCTGGAGAGGGAGAAGGGACTATAGTTATTCCAATACCTTTCTCTCTAAAGAGATTCCTGTGTCTGTGAGGACTTGACCTAGCCAATGATGAAAAACTGTAAGGAATGTGCGGAGCTGGGAGAGGCTAAGAAAAGATGCAGATGTTAAAGCATAAGTAGTAGTTTACAGTAGTATCAGCCCTTGCCAGCTGTAACAAAAGAACCTGGAGGAGGAAGTTGGGGTGTGTATGTAGTCCTTATGGCTGTCTACCACCCCTGCCCAAAGCTGTCATTTATTTTTTTCCCCAAGATACTGCTTTTGCCTGACTACTAGATCTTTATGCTTTCTGCATGCTCCCACCATTCCTAGTTTCAACCCTTGAATCACAAACAACTGTAAAGGACAGTGATAAAGTTGTTCTTTCCTCTGGGCCAGATCTTCTAGTGTCAGAACTTAAGTTAGAGCTGGCTTCAGATCTCTACCTCTAGTTTTGGCTACTTTAAGTCAGCAGCTGCATGTGACTAAAATGACTCCTCCTAGTTGTGTGTCCTGCTCATTTACGGCTGTATATAAGGTTGTCACTTTTCTTTTTCTCCACTAGTTCATAGCAAGCCTTAGGTTATACCCGTCTAAAACATCCTAGCCTATATTGGTCCTAACAAAATAAAATTAAAAAAAAATCATTGAACATTTGGCATTTGACTGTAATTATGCTTGAATTTTAAAAATCGCAGATAAGAAATGTGGATTAGCTCTTCCAGTTCTGCGTTCTTACTAAATTGGTAAGAGCAGGTCTCAAAGCACCTAAGTAAGCCTGAATTGTAGTCTCTCCCATAGGTGTCCTTATGTTTTTTTTAAAAAATAGAAGTAACATGGCTCAAGTTACAACGTAGCTTAATTGAAACAGGTAAATAAATACAATCAAGTTGGCACAAGTGGGAAGAACTTCGGGGAGGGGAGCTTAAAGGTGTGGATGGGTGCTTGGGTTGACTGATGTACTTGACTTTGGAGATGAATATATTTGTGGCTGAAGAGGCTGGTTTTAACAGCACAAATTATTGCTATGCTGCTACTTCATGGGACCTCCAGAAACATTTCTTTTTGCCTGCCTTGTTTGTAGGGACGTCCATCAGGAGATGCTTTTATTCAGATGAAATCTGCAGACCGAGCTTTTCTGGCTGCACAGAAGTGTCATAAGAAGACAATGAAGGACAGATATGTTGAAGTCTTTCAATGTTCTGCTGAGGAGATGAACTTTGTATTAATGGGGGGCACTTTAAATCGAAATGGCTTGTCCCCACCACCATGTAAGTTACCATGTAAGTTTTGCATGGGTCTTGCCAATACTCTACGCTATGTGCGGGTAGGTGTTGGAGCTGCTTTGTTGACTCTGATTCTGGTTCTTGGAAAGCAATGTCAGATGGGGGTATTAAAATAAGGTCTTTTCGTCTTAAATCAGCAGCAGCTTGCAATCATTATTTTTCCCTCTGGTTGTGAATTACTATGACTGAAGAACTACTTTGAAATTACTCTTGCTTTCCCAGTGGCAAACTTCCCCTCTTCTCTCTGAGACTTAACTTGTCCAGGGTGAGCCATGACTCTGGAAAGTAATTTGTAAGCCCTGACTACACCTTAAAGCACTGTTTCCCATTTAAACTGATTTGTATCTACATTTTTCATCATGGTGAACATGCCAAGTAAAAGCCCTTCCCCTTTCACTTCCAAAAATTTATGAAACCATTGGTAATGCTCTCCTTTTGGGACTTAACCACAAGCGTTCTGCCTATTGAAGCACTACTGAGTGAACTCTTCCTTTGCTTTTTGTTGTTCATACAGAATTGAGGTTGCCTGTGTGGGAGTAAAATACACGTAGCTTTGGCTTCAGAGTTGCAGAAAATTTATTTCTTGTAAAATTATGCTCCTCAGAGCTACTAGGATGAACATGGACTTCTAGACAAACATTTAGGGGGAATGCTGTAAGAGCTTAAGGGCTAACTTACTAAGCATATGTGCCGTATAAATCTGAGCCTATGGGAAAAATAATACTTTGCTTCCAAGATCATAAATGGCAAGGTAGTCAAGTAGGAGCTTTCTCCCTCTCTCTCTATGCAAATGTATTATTGTTGGTGGTGGCTTTTTTAAGAAGTGTCCTCTAAATCCTAGTCACAGCTGCCAATATGGCAGCAAACTTTTTGGATGTGGTTCCTTTTGAGTGTGAGTAGACCTTCAGCTAATCCTTAGGAGATAAGCTAGTCACCTGGAAAACTTTCCTTCTAAGCAGAGATCTGCAGTGTGTAGTCCTATGTGTGACAGCTATTCCAGGCAGGGCTTGGAAGCTTCTCCTGAGAGCTCCTAGGACAGGTTCTTGAGTAGAGTCCCAGGCTTTGGGAACTCTCAGGTGGCAGCGTTCCCATTTCCAGCTACAAATGCCAGTGATGTACTCCTCAGACAAGCCCTTTTGGCTTATGATGAAAAGGTGTCCTCTGGTCTGGGGAACGTTAGGCAGATCTTGAGTACAGAAGTTTCCTTCTTACAGTGGAGAAGTCTCACACTTCTTGATTGGAGACTTCATTAAAATCAGAGTCTAGACAAGAAAAACTGGCCTCTTCTTCAGAAAGAGACCCTATTCTCAGAGCAAGAGGTGGCTTTTTGTGTAGTACTGACTTTGCTTTTGACTGGGAGAGTAGGTACAACACTTGTAGTCAAGCTCACGTTGGTGGCTCAGATTTATTTTCTGTGATGAGCAAGAGAACGAGAAGCTTGTGAAGGCTCTTTACTTACTGCAGAGTTCTTCAGCTAATGAAGACCATATATATGCTGGAATTTAAAAGGTCCTAATCTATTTTCCATTTGTTCCCTTTAGGCCTTTCACCCCCTTCCTACTCCTTTCCAGCTCCTGCTGCAGTTGTGCCAACAGAAGCTGCTCTGTATCAGCCATCTGTGCTCCTGAACCCACGAACGCTCCAGCCCTCCGCGGCGTACTACCCTGCTGGGGCTCAGCTCTTCATGAACTACACAGCGTACTACCCCAGGTAAAGCAGAGGACAAACCAAGCAGGAACAAAGAAGTCTTTTTGCAGCAAATGCACAAAGCTCACAAAAGAACATTGTCTGCCGTGCTAAAGGCTTGTGCTACCAAGAACAGCTTGTTTGGTATCTTGTTCAGGGAAAAAATTTCAGGATATCTAGGGATTTCCCAAGTTTTAGAGTATTTCAGGTAGTGATTTTGTTTTTGTGGTTTTTTTTTTTTTTTTTTTCACCTAATATGCCTCTAAACTTGTTAGTTTGCATTGTTGTACCCTTAGTGGGAACTGTTGTGTGCAGTACTGCTTCCCATGTCCATAAAGAAGCCCTCAGCCCCTCTTTAGAATGGGGTCTGCCCTAACAACTTCTGAAATTCTGCCTTTTTGTTTTTGTAATAAAGTAACTTTTGACCTTTATGGTAAGAACTCAGTTGACTTATTTATAAAAGTACTGCATTGAAGGCATATATGTAAAGCATATAGAGGCATATATTCTTCCTGACCTTAAACACCTCTCACAAAGGGCTTTTGGCTCTTCTGGATGTATTAGTTATCTTCTACAGAACAAAAACTCTTGATACTATTTGCCCTCTGCAGTCATGAGGCCTTGGAAACAGCCATATTCCCTGTAAGCCATAAACCATTCCTCATCTGTCAGGAAACCTGCTAAGGAACTCAAGTCTTCTATTATATTCTGACCGGTGCTTTTTATCTCTGGAGAAGGGTCCACATAGCTACTTATGCAGTTGTTGAGCAATATGGACTCTGTAGTACCTGGGAGATAACAAAGGTTTTCTTGTTACTTTACACTAAACCAATGTGTCTGTGAGCTGTCTGTTGTGGGTTTTTTATTAAAATGTTTTCTTCACTCATGAGTTAATTTCTATAATGCCTTCAATGTCTGTCTTATGATAATGTTACCAAACTCAGCCTCTTTAATGTAAGATCAAGAAAAATAAAATTCCAAACTTGCACTGGCAATATAAAACAAGTTTCTCAATAACAGTTCTATATGTCATGAGAACACAGTAGCAGTAATAGTTTGTAGTGGCTTTGACATGTTGTACTTAAAGTAATGACAGACTGGCCACTGCAGGTGAAGTGTCAGGCCCTACAGAGATCTCTTGCTGAATGGGATCTCACATGAGTCCCATCACTGGCCGCTTGGGCGGCTGGCATATATGTTGGTTATGGACAGATCAATCTCAAGTCCTAAAATATCCTTTCTATGTTCTTGTCTAACTGACAGTTGTATACTACTCTTAGGAAACCTTTCCTACATGGCTTCTGTGCCAACTACAAGTACCTCCCTTTTAACAAAGTAAGGTAACATTTCTGCAGTCAACTTGGCTGCCTTCTGTGTTGTGAGATCTAGTGTTTGGATATTGCTTTTCTATCCAGAGTAAATGTTTGATTTACAGACAAATTGTATGTAGTCCAGTAGAAGTAGTGATCCTTTGTAGATGATGTTTTTTTTTTTCTAAAAAATTAAGCTTTATTGCTTTTCAGGCAAGTTCCCATGCTTTGTAAAGGATGCAATAAGTAATTGGATCCCTTTCACATAGCAATCAGAACTCTTAAATGGAGTTTTCTGGTTCTGAAATTTAATCCAAAAAAATGTTAAGTATGTGCAGCAGGAAAGATCTGTACTAAGTGGTGCATTTAAATGCATGTACATGGAAAAGCAATACAGAGCTGGTGGCTAATGATCAGACAATGGTTCATAAATCTAACTGGTGAATACTTATGGAAATAAGGAAGGTTTCTTTGACCTGCTGCCAAAAGTTTCTACCACTTGTGTTTTGCAAGGTCAAGTTGCTTTGTAATAGCCAATTCCATTCTCCACACAGTAATCAACCTAGATGGTGGGGGGGAGGGAGGCATTGCTTTGGTCTTCAGTATCTATCAGAAATTTCTGAAACTCTCAGACTTGTCTTAATGCTCTTACAGCTTTGGTGATGAAACCTAATGGTGTAAAGAAATGGATGCTTTCTATGCTATTAAAATAGCTTTAGTGAACTCCTAATGAAAAGGAGGGAGAGCAAGTTATTCGGGATCTGTCAGTCTTTGATATCTCTGTTCAGCTTGTAATTATATCTGGCAACATGTTCTGACAGCAAATCAGTGGTCTCAGTCTGCCTAGTCCCAGGCTTTTGAGAAAAAGAACAATGGGATTCATGGGAGAGAGGAGTTTCTTTCCTTATCTAATCCTGGATAAATAGATGTACTAGTTGTTGTATGTATGTACGTTGAAAGTAATGAATAACTGCACTACTTGGCAACTGCTAGCATGTTCTACAGAAATTTTTACCATACACAAACTTGAAAGTTATTGCTATGGGATATGTAGTTTTAAACCAAAGTTAATCTTATTCTATTTATTCAGTTCTAATGCCATTTTGATCACTCTTAAGCAGTGCCTTTTAAAACCTCAAAAGTTTCTGTCAAAATCCTTAATTGTAGGAACATACTTAAAGTTTGTTCTTTTTTTCAACAATATTTTAAATAGTGAAGTGGAAAGAGGAGCTTCTTACTCAGTGGGTAGTATGCTGGCGGGACTTGTAGCTGAAAAATTATGTGGAAGCTGACAACTGATGTGGGTTCAAACAAACTGGATAAATTCAAGGGCAGGAAATTCATTGTGAGTTAGTGAATACACAGAAATCATATCTGGCTCAGGAAGTCCTTGAACTCAAAATAACTGGAAGAGTGTTCTTATGTTCTGTATCCTATGGTAAACTCTGGTGCTATTGAACCAAGGTGGGTAGGTGAACTGGTTTGTTTACATCTTTGAAGCAGTACTTGCCTTGAGAGATATAGGTATCACTTGTGAGCATGGGTCTTTTCTAGTGTGTTTGTAGTTGTAGTCCACTGTGCTAGTCTAATAGTGGCTAAGTTTGGGTTATCTCCCTGTTGTGTCAGTGTATGTACAGCTCTCTCCATTGGAGTGATTTGAATTAAAAGGTCTGTTTGTGGTAGCTAAGGGCATGAATCTGACGCTTGTTGCACAAGGAAATACAGCGTAACTTGTTAGTGTCCTCATCTGTCTGCTTCTGCCTCTTCCTGCTATGGTTTAGGTATGTTTTTTTCTCATTATACACTAATCAACTTGTAAAACTATTTATATTTATCTTATATACATATGCAACATACATATAGCATGAATATATATGTATGCATACATACTTTAAAAGTGTGTGTGTATATAAAATAAAATGCCCAAGGTCAGAAAATGCCTCACTTGTTCTCTGTGATGGATCAGATCCTGCATAATGACCATCGTGGAGAACAAGTGAGGCTTTTTTCTAACCTTGATCATTGCTCAGATCCATAGAATCATTAGGGTTGGAAGAGACTTCAAAGATCATCAAGTCCAACCGTATACCTGATGCCACCATGCCCGCTAAACCCACTAAACCATGTCTCGAAGCGCCACATCTAAATGTTTTTTGAACACCTCCAGGGATGGCGAGTCCACCACCTCCCTGGGGAGCCCGTTCCAATGCCTAACGACTCTGACAGTGAAGAAGTTCTTCCTAATATCCAACCATATTGAAGCACAGTTAAGTGACGAGTTTAAACTGGCAAAACTAGGAACAAGTGGGCTGGATTAGGAGTGATACCATTTGGAGCTGCTGCCAGCAGCTTTATTTGCATGTCTGTGTGTCTGGCTAACCAGCTTCACTTGACAGAACTGGGTTAGGAAACAACCATATGTGTATTTAGCCTGGGAGATCTGTCACAGATGGAGAACAGCAGCAGCCAGAAACAAAACCTCTTTATCAGGTTAGTTGTACTCATAGCATCATAGCAACACTCTGGCCCACAGCTCTTAGACTGTAGTACTCTTTTTTTAATTATTTATTTGTTTTTATTTTTTATAATAAGTATGTCAGCTTGGATTCTATGAAATCACATCTACAGTGAATGAGCACACTGAGCATAAAAGCCTAGTGGTGGCTTTTAGTTGCTGTCCAGCAGTTCACATGTCTACATGAAGTGGCAAAATCTGGGACTCCTTGCTCATGGTGAGCTGGCTCTCAGTCATGGATATGTCAAAATAACCTCAGTTCTTTAGTTAATGGTACAAACTTGTCACCAGAATGATTGTTTTGGGGGAAAGACTTAATGATTCACTTTTGTAAGTGAAGGTAGCTTGCCAAGGATTAGAACAGCAGGGATGTCTTAACTACTCCTGTATTTCATTGGAGGAGGAGTGTGTTAGCTGGGAAGACGAATTGTTGCATGCCTCTGTAAGCTGTCATTATCTCTTAATTTGTAGGTTTTAATTAGTAAACTGCCATGGTATCTGAAAAGCAGCAGAATGATAATGCTCTGATCAATAGGTATCTGGGTATTGGGATAGTAAAGTTGTTTGAATTTTAAAAAACAAAAACAAAAAAGCACACCTTTCTTCAAAGTTGATAAGCCTGTAAAAATGTCACTGGTAGCAGTGTCCAAGATTTACTCAACCCACCATACAAAATGCCACCAGGGATGCTGGTGGAGGTGGTTCTGCTTACAGATCCCAGTTCCTTTTGTTCGCTTAACTTACTGAATGATTTGATGTTCAGTTAGCAGCTCTTTCTGTCACCTTCTGACTTTTCCTCTGCTGTCTAGTGAAACATTTGAATTAGTGTGATCGTGCAAGCTAGCTGCAGAGATCAGTTTGAGTATAGTTTTTCCTTTTGCTTATTTACCTCCTGTTGCACCTCAAGGCATGTGTGTCATCCATGGAAGTGACTTTGTTAAACATTTGCGATGATGGCCAAGTGATCTCAGGGTATTCAGGGTGCAAAGATATGTTGCTGGATGCTTCTCTACTCAGCAGCAGCCCTCTGTAGAGGTGTATTGAAAGTCCCAGCACTACTTAGGGCAGACCATTGCAGTCTTCCGTGGCACAAGCACTTCTGGCTCTGTTCCCATTGCTTGTTGTTGTTGTACTACCATTAACTTAATCAGCTGGGAAGGTGATTGCAGTAGGCAGACTGGTTAGATATGCATCGAGTGGGCAGCAGGTTATCTGGTTAAACGTGGGGATGGCATTTGTACTGAAGGAGATTTTGGTGTTTTCAGGGGTAGAGTTGGGTTGATCTTGTAATAAGGTTCCTTAAATTTAAAAAAAAAGTTTTCAGTTCTAAAAAAAAAAAGCGCCTTCCATGGTGAGAACATGGTCTGTGATATATGTCCATGATTAAACAGCAATCATAGGGGATTTAAATGTTTCTATTTGATTAACAGATGATCTGATGATTTAGTACTCATATTTCTGCTATTTGTCAAATTATCTGACCTTTCTTCAGATATGGGTAAACATTCCAGTCTTAGAAAAGGAAAATTATTCTGGTTATGTAAATACTTTTGCTAATAGCATGTCTTGTTAGCTTTTGTGAACAAAGTACCATGTTAAAACTTTCAACTTTGGTAATTATACCACAAAATGTACTAGCTTTGCCTCTCAAACTTTGTATGAACCACTTCTAAAAAAGCTTTATACTGAAGCTGCATTTCTTCCTGCTGTTGGGCTGCTTTCCAGCAATTAACATTATAGGTGTTATACTGCAAGCTTCTGTATACATGTATACGATACCCGTGATCTGTGACAACCCCAGGAGTGGTTGAAAATCCATATTGGTCCCTGGGCAAAAAAAAAAAAAAAATCTGCTCTTCATCAGATGCTGGGGTGATCTCTCATAATTCCTTGAGGTTTTCTGATAGCTGCTTGGTGACGTACACCTTCGGCTTTTTGCTGTCCTTCTGCTGGCTTCAGTCAGAGGAGCTGGCTTTGGGGTGCTGCAGAGCTCCTCGGGGTCTGCTGGGTTGCCTAGAGCTAGCAAAGGGGGAGGCTAACGTAATCTTAAAACACTAGTGGGTGAGTCTGACAAGTTGTTCTTCCCTGCCCTCTCCCCTTTCTTTTCTCTCCCGTGACTTTCCAAAAAAATGTTCCTCCAAGTAGTACAGTGAGGGATAAGTACTAAGGCTAACTTGCAATACAGGACCTGTGTTACAGTCCAGAAATTAATAGAAGTTGTCAATCAGTAGCCTGATGAAAGGATATCTTCAGTATCTGTTGCCACAGAGCAGAAAATACTTAACAAACAAAAAACTTTTTCAGGATCACAGAGAACAAAGTCATAGGAAAAATAGGGATGGAAAATCTGCAGGGAGAGACCTGAAACCTGTAGGCGGTGTCTATGCACGTATCTATTCCTATGTGCAAATAGTGCTGGGTATGTCTGTGGCTCCATTGACTGACTTGCAGGATACTTGGCAGGGATCTGAAAACCTGCTTGGTTTTGTATGCTGACTGCACCCAACTCGCACCCAACTCACACCCACTCTTAATATAAACCACAGCTTCCTTCTGGATATTGGTATCTGTTAAGCAAATGTATAATGGAAAAAAAATATTAAGAAATCAAACAGGAGAGATGGTGATCCTCCATGTTTTTACATCATATTTTAGTGATGAATGTTTGGGATCCCTTGAGGTGCATAAATGCTGTTTGAATGCAAACATCAGCCTTTAGATCATGTGAAAACTTGTTCTTGCATCTAAAACTGATTTCTGAAACTTAATTATGTTTTATTTTGAGAGTCTTTGGAGAATACCACAATCTCAGAAATATTGATTGGAAAAGAAATCCAATCTGGCTCTTGATTAGATCTAAGAAGGAGGATCAATTCATAAGGAAAAAAGGTTTGCATTGGGAAACGCTTCATATCATGTTTGATTTAAAGAACTAGATTGATATAAAAAGAGTTAAGGTCTTGCACTGCATCATTGTATACTGATATGCAGCGACTAAGAATGGCTGTAGAAATCCTCTCTGACCCCGTGTAAAACATGCAAGTATTTGCTCCTGGGGTTTAACTAGAGAAGATAGGCTGGAATAGCTATTTGTCTTGTATCCCTCCCTGGACACTTTTCATTACTAGTGTCCTCTATGTACTGCTTTTTTATCTGGAGACATGACTCATCTAAGTCACTCTCTCCTGTTCCTCTAGGAGGTTGTCACCCCTCAGTTTGGAGGAACACAGAAATGGCTGGGGGCAGCCAATGTGTTATCTTGTATCGAGGAATTAGAGCAGGTAGCACCCTTAGCCTAACCTGTTGCTGAAGCTGTCTACCTTTATCTCCAGGGTGGTGTTATGAATTAGCAAGTGCTTGTAGCATCTCGATGCAATGCCAGCAGGGTTAGCCTGAATAGCTGGAGTTTTAAACAGAGATGTCTGACTTCCTTAAAACAGATAAGGACCCAGTAGAAGTACTAATAATAAAAATAGAGGGGTGCAGGGGGAAGATGGCTGAAGGGGAAGCACTTTTGCCCCACTGAACGCTGTCTTACAAAAGCTGAGGGGAAAGCACATGGAGGCCCAGCAGCAGGGCCAAGTGGCCAGGACGGTGGGAAAGCTGTTCTCTGGGACACCCAGCTAAAGCTCTGGTGGCCCACCGCTGCACGTTCTTGTGGCCCATCTCTCAGCAAGGGCAAGGGAGGCAGAGGAACTTCAGTTTGGTACCTTCCAAAGACAAGGGCTGTAGCCTTGCTTCAAAAGAAAGGCTAGATTGCCCAAGGTGTCTGTCTCATTGTGTGTCTGTTTCTTGATGGTTTCTTGTTTGGTTTTGGTGCTTGGTTTTTTTAGCAGTGATGCAAGATAACTCTGTCTTGCCTCACTAAATTAGTTTACCTCAGAAATCTGCATCATGGTCTGGTTTGGGGGTTGGGCTTTTTATCCCCCCTAATAAGAATCAATCTGCAAAGAAAACTGGAAAATATCTCTTTCCTTGCTCTTCATATGAGTTTTGGAATTAATGGGGTTCTTTTGTAAGGATTCTAGAAAAATTTAAACTATTCTATAGCTTAAGTTCTCTTATGTTTATCTTAATGACTTTTTCTACAAAGCTATGCAGTGCAAATAGTCTGGGGGATGCATTTTGTTCAATGAAACAGAGTAAAATATTTTTTTTTTATTAAATGTTATACATATATATGTGTGTCTAGCAGTAGCTGGAAATTCACATGGATTACTTGACACTTTAGCAAAAAGAGGATATTTGCTGGAACTGCCAAATCAAAACAAAGCAAGGGTCTGTTAACTAGCTACAGTTTTGTGGCAATTTGAATAAGGCTATGGAAGACCTGACAAAGAATATCAAAGCTTTTAACATCTACAAATTATAAGTATTTTGGATGTTACAGAAGTGTATTTTTTTATTACTGCTGAATAAGTTATATTAATGTCACAATAATTAATACTGCTTTAAAGCAAGACAAGCATGTCCTTCTGTGGCACTAACCTTTAACCTGTGGCAGTTACCATTGACCACAAAAGATGCTGTGTCTAAAGAGTCTATGAAATATAAGTAAATAAAAGCAAATGCTGCCTTGCTAGCATTGCTGGCAGTGGTGGTGATCTCCTTCCTCAGTTGTATTTGGCAGGCGGCTAATGGAGAGCACTGACCTGGAGCTTGCATCCAAACCGTGGATGGGCATATTTGCCATGGATTCATCTCCTTACTCTTTAGCTGCGTTTAAAACTTTGGGGTTGTAGATAGCGTGTGATGGCAACAAGCTCCAAAGCTGATTGGTGCACTGGGAGGGAAGACTTATTTTCAGCCTCCTTAATGTCTTAAGGTGACCCCTGGATCTTGTGTTTGAGAAGCTGAGTAGTACATAGGTATATTGACTGTGGTACTATTTTGTTAGAGATTAGTGAGATTGTTCATATTATGGAAAAGGCATGCAGGGAAACCCTTAGTAGGAAGCGTTGTATTATGATAAATTTGTATGAAGATGCTACTCTACAGCATAAAACTTTGAACTTTCCGTAGCTGTTTTTCTAACAATAGGCTCAAAATTTATACAGATGATTGCGAGTGTCATCTTTGGCATTAGACCATCTCTGCTATCTAGTGGAGCCACCAGTGAAGAATTATTCACAAAGGTACCCAGGAACACAATATTGTGGGGATAAACAAGCACTATAAGCAGTTCCTATGGAAAAACAGTTCTAGACATGCATAGCTCTTCACTGTAGAAGTAGTGTTAGACCTGAGTCAATTGCCTTTGCTTAGTGAAACCCCTTGAAGACTTTTGTCTGAAAGAAAACCATAGACATCTGTATGCTGTGTCCAGGAATGGCTTGTCTGCTGGATTTGCTTGTTGCCTGCTGTGAGCGAGCTATCCCCTTCCATACTGTGCTGTATGAAGATGACCCAGGGCTTTACAAATAGTGGGAACTGGGGAAAGACAAGACTGAAAACTGATGAGGACACATACTTGGAGGCAAATGCACCTACTAGACTTAAAAGTTGGAGAGGAACTCAAGAAGATGAGCTTTAATTTAGAAAAACTGAATATAGGCTAACACTGTAGGACTTGTGGGCAGGAACGACTCTTCCACAAGGCATCTTGGGACAGTGGCCATTGGGCTAAACTTAGCCTTCATGAATATCCTTTTAGTTAAGAATTCAAACACAGATGCAAGCAAGCAAAGGAAAGACTGATAGTCCCCAGCAGAAACTTTCCCATGGAATTTGTATAGCCATGAATTTGGAGAACAGAAGTGGAGGTGGTCTGGAAACTACCTTTCTAGTGTAGTTTGTGGGGCTATCCTAGGTCTAAGGGGTAGCATGAAAATGGTGATGGAAATGGTAGGCTGTTGAAGCCATGCTCAGGAGACAAAGCAAAATGATCAAGGTGGCTTTAGGCAAGAAGTATGGGCTTTTTGGGGGGGTTACTTGCTTTTTTTACTTTAACCTTAAAATTGTATAGTAAGTAGGAGAAGCCAGTTGCATCTCACAGTACTGGGACAACTTCGAGGGGTAAATGACCTATGCAGATCTACCTAGTAGTGAACCCTAACTTTTCCTTTAGAGACTTTGAAACTACGTGTGTCTTTGGCTGTACGGGAGGTGTCTTTGGCTGTACGGGAGGTGTCTTTGTCCCTCACCTCCAGGGACACTCTTGAGACCAGTCAGTTGTGACTCCAGAGTCTGGAGAGAGTTGTTTTCACAAGATACTGTGTGTGCCCATGTGTTGCCCTCTTAGGGGAGGCTGATGACCCCAGTGTAGTTTCTGTTGTTGAATTGCTCTTGATGCCATGATGATGGGAGCATTACAGATGTGGCCAGAACTTTGATATCTGCCCAGGGCTTTAAGAAAGGTTAAGGTCACATAGCCAGCTGCTGGCTCTCTTCTGCACTAGTTTGGCTTCTGATTGCTTCTATCTTAACTTGTGTTTGTAGTATGCAGCAGAGGATGGACTTGTACACACAAATGATCCGGCCAGGACAGTGTCCAAAGAATGGATTTGCATTTAAAGGCCCGAGCAGTTAGACTTCCTTAGAGAAGGTAAGGTTTAATGAACCCTAGGAGATGGGTTTGGGGGTCTCGTAGTGTTTGTTTCAGATAACCACCATACTCAACATAATTTTTCATTTACTGCCCTGGGAACATGGCTACTCTTTGCTATGTCCAGAATATCACCTCCAATATATAAGACCTTGGTTACTAAAGCCATCATTTAAAGGATTTTAACTACTCTAAAGGATTTTGACTGCTCCAGTCTTCTTGTGGGCTGCTGCTTTGCATACTTACCAGGGCTCCAAATGCATGCTACTTCAAGCTTTAATATCAATATTGAGAACCTCCAGACAGCTCCTCAGAGTCAGTTTTCTCTGAGGAGCGAAGTGCAGAGATGATGTTACTCTCCTAGCAATGCACTAGGATATAGTGTCGGTTAGGCAGAATGAGCTACTTTGGTAACTACAGATTTCTAGAAATCTGATTTCTAAACCTCGTGCTGATGTAAAATTGCAGCAATTAAGTAGACTGTGTTTGTGTAACTGGCAACTACTGTCTTGCTTTCCTGAGCTTTCCGATCAGGCCACTTCAGCCTTTTAAGCTTTGTTTATTTGATCTTCTGTATAGGAACAGTCAAAGGGTGAAGTCACCCAGAAAGCACTTGTGCAGAAAAATGCAAGTTGAACTGAAAAGCGGTGTATTGATGGCTGCACCATGTGCTTTATCGTGTGCAGTAGCCTGAGAGGAAGATAGAGAAATATATTTAAGAAAAATGCTTCTGTAATCTCTAGTCTTTTAAAAATACATAGTCAAAGAAGTGATAAGATTTCTTTTATGCCCTTTTCTTTTCTCTATTCCTTTCTTCACCTTCTCCTCTGAAAAATAACAACAACAAAAAAATGCCCTCTTTTTCATTCTTCTTCTCTGACATAAAGGCGGCTTAGCCCAGGGTGTAATCCACTTTGGGCAAAACCTTCACCTGCAGCATCACCTTGCTGTCATCTGCTCTAAGAGTCCTGCTAAGTGAAGTACAGCATGTGTAAAACCAAAAAGTGACCACCTCAGCTAGTTGGCCAACAGGCTGACTTTTGGCTGGGTTGATAAAGCTAAACCCCATCCCTATAACTAACAGTCTGAGGCCATAGTTAGGTGCTTAGTAGCATCCTGGCTTAAACTATGCTACATCACTTCCCATCTACCCATAGCTGCTTGTCTATGGTGAGCATTGCCATGCAGTGACCTAGGTCAGGGAAGAACCCATGGGGTTTGTCTTTCAGTCTGTTTTTACCCAATCCAGTTTACAGCTTGACTATGCGAGTACCTGTGTCAGCTCAGAGATGGGAAAGTAGAAATGAGCAAAGCAGGCACTGAGGGATAGTAATGGCATTGCTGTGTTGGAGTTGATTGTAAAACTTCACCTTGAAAGCTAAAAGGTCATGTAATATTGAATAAATTCTGGCATACTCGTAGCGAAACACTCTTCTCTCTAACAGTAAATGTCATTGAAATCCTGTGTGTATAAAGTGAAAACTACAGCTTTTAATCCTTCAGTAAAGATTTGATACTTTGGAAATCAAGAAATTAAGATTTGCTTTTATTGTGGTGTTCAGTGACCTGCACAACTCTTTCATGCAGATTCCTCCACTCTTTCTGATGTTTTGAACAAGCGCAGTGAGCGTAGATGGAGAGTTTGATTATGTTCCCAGTTTTACCACTGCTCAAGCCAGTAGTGCTCAAGAAAAATCATCAGAACCCTGGAAATCAGCAGATGGACCTCTAACTGTTTTAAAGTTAACGCACAGTTTTCAGACACATAGACCACTAAGCCTTTCACTAAGAGCACAGGTGCTGAAATCACGCAAGTCCTCAGGGGTTTCTTCTTGATAAAGAAAGTGTTAAGCTGCTCTTAGCACAGACTAGTTTAGCCGGAACCTACAAAGTCTGATCTACTACATTCTTTGAAATAGCAAAAAAGTCTTTTTTGCCTAATTTTGCACACAGTTTAGAGTTGTTCTTTTTAAAGTATTTTAAGACATTTTTATAAAAAACCTTGTTTTCTTGTCTTGTACATATTTGTCTAATCTGTGCAAAAGAAGCCTCTGTAAACTTTATATACAGGTATATTTTATACAGTGCAGAAATAATTAGGAATGTAAAATGGATTATCTGAGGAAAAAGTGCTGTACCTTTGTAAAAATATAACTCTGGGATGTTAAATGCTTTGTCTCCGATTCTTATCTTGCATGGTCTCCATATGTACTCAGGTATTTAAATTTTAAATGGCTTACAGGAGTAGGCATTTTTAAACTTTGATCACACTGCTTAGTGAGAAAATGAGAAATGCAGTTAACCCCTCTCCCGTGATACTATTTTTTATTTTTCCACTTCCTGCTTTACCCACCCTGCTTGGTGTTGAATATGAGATTGTTAAAGAGAAGGAGTTGTGATCTGTTGTAAGACCCAGCACCTTGTCTGCTTTAAGGGAGGGTCAGGCAGGGACAGCAGTTTGAGTTTGGTCTCTCTGAACTAGAGCGAGTGTACTTTCCCTGTAGCCCAGCACCACAAGAGTCACTCTTACCAAATAAATTGGATGATGTACATGGTCTTGCTTAAATAACTGATGTCTCTTAGCAGTCTGTGCTCTCCCTGCTTGCCCTGCGACTGGACTTCAGTTAGGGGTTAGAGCACAGCATCTTTCCATGGCAATTCTACTTGTTATTTGTTCCGAAGAAAGGGGGGTCGAGGAAAAGAAACCCTGAAATAAAGAGATTTGTGAGGCTAAAAGTTGCAAAGGGGATAGGTTCTCTGGCATGTTCAAAATAAATATCACAGAACTCAGGATTGGAAGCTGATCTGTTCTTGAAATTGGCCACAAGCAACCTTTCTTTGCTGCAGGTTAGAAACTATCTTCCAAGTGAGAAAGCCTACTGCTGAACAAGATAAAGTATTTGGCAAAAATTACCTGTCTCATTATTTAAAAACACAAAAATCCACAAAAATGCACTTGGTTATACTTCTGGAGGCTGATGTGGGAAAGCATTTATCCTATGGACTCTTCCTTGCTGGTCCAGCTTCTCCTGGAAAGCACAGCTGGGCAGCTACCATCCCAAAGGTAATTCCCCTCCCAGAGCTGTGTATGTGCTTTAGTCTAAGACTCTCTAAAACACATGGGTGGTCTGGGGTGGAGAGCCCAGGAGCTGGGACCTGCCTCTGCTGCAGAGCCTGAGCTCAGCGGCAGCTCCCAATGTTCTCCCGGACACATCTCTTCACTGTGGCCAGTGACACATCCCGGACACATCTCTTCACATTTGTGTATTCTCTCAAGAAGAAAACAGGCTTTTGCAACATTGCAGCCTGAGAAGGGCCTCAGTCTGCCTTGTGCCTAACGGTTGTCTGAGGGAAATCTGTCACCTCTGCTGTGGGTGGGCATGGTGGGGGGCTGCACAGAGGCTGCCTAGTTTGGGACCCCAGCAGCTTTGGAGACGATTTTGATTTCTTCCCTGACTTTTCCCCAAACTCAGCAGAAAGAGTAGCAAAATTTTAGGACCTAACTCATGCTGTGGTTCCTGGGAGGCCCTTGGGAAAGCTCAACAGTTAAGACAGAGTTCCTGTAAAGCACTTTGGATACGGGGTGCTTATGTTCCTCCTACAGCAGTATTTAGTTACTGTGAGACCAAATCCACAGCAGTGCCTTGGTATCTCTGAAAGTAAGCACAAGGGGGGCGGGGGGGGGAGACAAGGCAGGGTAGCAGCAAAGTAGAAAAACTCTTCCAGACAAGGCAAGTGATAATGAAAATGAGGCTACCTAATAAAAAAAAAAATAATCAATTTTCCCCCCTTTCATTTATTTGCTATTTCTTTGCTCTTCTCTTTCCTGTGTGCCACCCTCCCGCAATTGCTACAGCCATAGTAATCTAGATTTATATTTTCTTCTGGCAAACTTCACACTGTTACACTTTGAAGTATTTGACAGGGCATTCTTTTAAATCACTGTTCTGTAAATATGAGTGCATTGAACATGATTCATTGATGCAAAATATTTTTAAATGGTATTTCTAACATTTCTTTCTGAGAAGATGATTATGCCTTTAATTTTGGAGCATAATAATAAATTAATAGTTATGCAGAGCGAAAATTAACCTATATAAGCTACTTGGGGAGTGATGGTGGAATAGAGTTTTTGCATATTAACTGCACAGGAGTATCCCAACTGTGCAAATACAGATAGGGAATGAGTGGATGGGAAGCAGTAGGACAGAAAAGGTTTGGAAAAATAAATCACAAACTGAATGCAACAACAATTAAATGCTTTTGAAAAACAAAGGCAAACCTCACATTGGGATGTGCAAATGCGCCTGTTGTTTGGGATGCCCTTTAAGTTTTCCAAATCTTTTACACGGTGCTGGTAAAACCTTAGCAAAAAGTTACGGTGAACAATTGGCAAAAAAAATTGCAGAAAGATGTGGACCAACTGCAGAGAGAACAGATGAGATGTGAAAACAGCTCCTAAGGGCCTGCTGAAGGTATTGGGATTGCATAGTTTGGTGAAGAGCAGGCTGAGGAGAGGAATGAGAACAGTGTATTTAAAAATACAGCTATGAAGAGAGAAGGAATAAATTCTTCCCATTGTGGATGAGACCAGGAGAGAGGGATGGAATTACAGCCAGGGATTAAGGCAGGCATCAGAACAAGCCTTCTCATACCAGCAGTAGTTAAGTACTGACCTGGACTGCCTGGGGAGGCTGCTCAGTCTCCACCCCAGTAACCTTTGGGGGCTGGTTGGCCAAGCACCCGTCAGAGGTGGCACTGCTATAGCTGATCCCACTGTCAGGCGCAGACGTGGATGAGATGTCCTCTTCAGGTCCCTTGTTTGCTATGATGATACCACTTTCTTCTTAGGACCCTGGCCTCGGATTTTAGAAAGTTAGATGCACATCCTAATATATGTGATCTGAGCTGTGTTTTGTGCTATTTTTCACAAGCTCTCTCATGTTTAGGATTCTTTGGGTTCTATTTA